GGCAGGCTGGTTTTCTCCACCAGAGGTCGCCACGGCCAGGGATTGAGGCACTTCTTCGGAGTTCACATCGTTGTCCCTCCAAAACTCAACTGCGTCCCAAACCGCGTTCCGATCCCAGATCACGTAGGGATGCTCTCGGCGGAACAGGTGCCAGATGGAGGCTACAGTATCCCGCAGGAGCTTTTGGTACTTAGCCTCATCGGCCGCCTTAAATTCATCAGACTCATAGAAATTGGCCACTGCACTCTCTCTGGCCTCGGCGAGGTCAACCTCCCGCTGCACCTCCAGTTGAGTCATGTTGGACTCCAGCTCCTTCACCCTATCTTGCAGCTGCTTCTCCCGCGCGGCAGCCTCCTGTGCCTCTTTCTTCGCCTGCTCCAGCTCTGACGCTGCCTTGGCCAGCTCCTCCTGCGCGGTTCGCAGCTCGACATCCTTCGCCTGCGAAACCGCCTCCTGCTCCTTCAGGATCTCATCCCGCAGCTCTAGGCGGAAACCCTCGCGTCCCTCTTTCAGCTGTTCTTCGAGCGACAAGATGCGGGTCTCGCGGTCACCCAGGTCATCTAAGAGGCACTCGTTTGTCAATTTGAGCTGGCTGATCCCAAATTGAGCCTGGATTCACAAACTCGTGTCAGCACTAAGTCAATAACAAGCATAAACTAAAACGAAGTTAAAATGCACCCACCGCGACGAAGCACCGAGCGGTCGTCCCTGCAAGATGGCGAGTGTCAGAGGTGGTGGCGATGGCGCCCGTGACTCGCACATATTCGCTCAGCACCGCAAGCCCCTCGGCAATGGCATGGAGCGCACGGCGCGCCAGCTCGGCTGACGAGGTTGCATGCGGGGAATACCGCGCACTGGAAGACAACTCCGTTGTCTTCTGCTTCTTCTGGCTGACGGGCGGGTCAACCTGGATGCCTTTCAGCTTCTGTTGGTCCCTCGCGACCTCGTTTTTCGGCACTACCACGACATCCAAGGGACGCTTGCTTCCACTCTTTGCTGCACCCGGATTGGTGGGGATGGTCAGCTTGAGAACTCCGGAGCGCCCCATCGCCAGATGCGATTGAGTGGAGGCGCCCGCAGCTTTTGGCCCTTCCGAGACGCTGGAGGCAGAAGGAACCGCTGACTGAGAACCGCTAGCGGTGGTCTTGGGCGGTCTGGCAGACGAAGCGTACCTCCGAATTCCTGGAACATAGATGCATAAGTAAAGACATGAGAAAACAACATCCCACAAAGCAAGTAGAAACTAACTAACCGTGGAAGCGCTGCACAATCTCAAGAGCATTGTCATGCCCATGTGGAGGCAACCGAAACTGGACGGTCGATGTGACGCGGTTCACATGCGGCTTAAGGTGGTGAAGTTCCTTGACGCCCTCGTCCCAATCGTTCGTGCGACGGACGAGAATGCGGTCAGCGGCTCTGTGTCCCCTGCGTACCATTTCCTAGAGGGGCGGGCGAAGAAGTATTCGCTGTACCAAGGGGAATCTAGCTTAGGGGACCCATACAAGAAACCCACGTTTTTCGACTGCCTTCGAGGAGACCAACAATTTTTCGACCCGGTCATCGCATATAGCAACCGGAAGGCGTCAATCGACGGTTCCTCCTTTAAGCGGTCACAGGCCGCACGATAACAGACAGAATGAAAGATGACGGAAGGCGAGAGCGGCTCAAGGAGCAGTTGAGATGCAGAAGGATCTCGGTAAGAAGTGGGTCTAGCGGGAACTCCAAACCCAAGCGCACATGTTCTATGAAGATTGTAATCCACCCCACCGGACATGAACCGCATCGCCCTTTGGGTAAGGGGGCTGCATACTCCCAATCTGTCGGCAGCCGGTGTCTGTGAAGCTGGAGAAGCACCTGTGCAGGCGAATACGCGGGCTTGTAGTGCGGCCCATAGTCATAAACAGTGCTAGGGATTTCTCCCCCCTCCCACATGTCCGAGTGCAGACGCACACGGTATACGCGGTCAGCAACCGCCTGGAAGGGGTGGACTATTGGCGTCTCTGACAACGCCAAAGAGGGCGAGTCCGCCACAGAGTCCTCCCCAGCTGACTCAGGGGATGCATCCTTTGGTGCGCTTTCCGACGACAGCTCCACGAGGTTGTCGCCAACTCAGGAGGTCGCTCCACGCCTAGCCGCCGACGTGGCCGTATCGATTAGGACACCCGCTCCTAGCCCTAAAATACAACCATCAGGCCTATCTAAACGCTCTCTCGCACCAACCGCGTCACCAAACCCGCACAGCAGTTCAATACCCTCCGAGTCCCATTCTATGTCAGATAAGCTTAAAGGGTGAGAAAATTCAAGCATACCTGCTCCGGTAGCAGGACCGGCTGCGCTAACAGTTTTAGTGCCCGACGCACGATGCCCGCGTTACTTTTTGGAGTCGTAACGTCACCGGAAGCGGTAGTCGCCGCCGTGCCGGAGGCAGTGGCTGTGGCCTGATCGGAAGCAGATAGCGGAATCACGTCGCCGGAAAGGTCGCGATTCTGGCTGTCAGAGGGGGTAGTAGATTGCGAGCCTTTCGCCATCAGAAGCTTCTTCTTTTTCTTACATTGTTTCTGCTTTCACCTGAGTGAAGTAAGAAATTGACGTCGCTCCGCCGAGAGGGAAGGGTGATTCTCCAAGTAACGAGAAAGGGAGAATTGAGAGCACCGAGCAATTTTGGAAATCGGAGGAAATAAGCAAATGATGAAAGTGACTCGGAGAGAGTTGGTTGGAGATATATATATGACGGGCGAGGGAAGCGATATGACGGTTAAGTGCTCAAGGCAGAGCTCTGTCTCACAAATTCAAAAAGACGGGCAGGTGAAAGGACATTCGGCCTGCCCGCTGTTAGAGCGCGGAAATCGGTACGTGCCACGTGTGCGGCGCGTCCTTGCTTTGAAGACTTACTGAACGGTCGTCTCTAGCTTAGGCGATACAACCCTAGACCTCCGGCGCCTAGGGGCAGAGTAAGGAGGAAAGGGGCGCGAACCACTCAACTAGCGGAACGCATTAGTAATAGCCGCCAAAACCCTAGGCTTTTACCGCCTAAGGGGCAATTGTTGGGCCGCGTAGTTGAGCGTACTTGGGCCTTGGGCCCGATAGAGTCCTATTGGCAAACAGGCCCAATAAGAAGGCTCAGCCTAGTCAGAAGGGCCGAGTCCACGGGCGGTTCTTGACCAACCCTAGGCCCGAGAAGTAGCTGAGAGACGCCCGACATAAAGCAACTGACGGTGGCAAAAAAGTAAAGAGCCGTTGAGATACGCATCTGGTGTCAGACAAGACTAGGCATTAATTGCCAGTCACAGGCGGCCTGCAGAAAGGCAGAAAGCCTGCTCAGGACGCCCGACACGACCTGGGGCGCCTGACGTAGCATTTAATGCCTCAACCACCTTCAAACCAGGTATAAATACAGAGTGAGTGCATTAATGGTAAACTCAACTACTATCTATCTCTCTATCATAAATACATTTCTCCTCTACTTCTCTCTCTAACTTGAGCATCGGAGGGTGTCCCGGGAAACCGCCCCGGACCCTTGTTTTGCAGGATATCTGGAGCTACTCCATCATCCAAGAACAAGCGCCTCGCCCCAGCTCCACAAAACCGCCTAGTATCTACTAGGCACAAACACTTCCCTTTCTGTTTGGTCGGTTTTGGTCGGTTACCGATCAGTTAGGTGGCTCCAACCGAACCAGCCTTCAAATTTCGGTTGCCCGGGTTAAACCGCGCCAAAACCAAAAACCGATCGGTCGGTTTGCGGCTAACCGAGGCTGGTTGGACGGTCGGTCGACGGCAGCAGTTGATCGTGTCTCGGTTTAGCCGAAAACCGAGATTTCAATTTTCAGTTAAATCGAAACCGACCGACTGCCACCCCTAATGTGGATGGACCCTGTAGAAAAATTAAAAGCAAAGAGTGATTTTAGAAAGAAAGATAACAGAACCTGAATCTCCGAATATTTTGTGTTTCTCTTTTTCTCTCATTTCTTGGTGTGGAAGATAACTTTGTATCGATGAAGCACAATTTCAAATAGCAACACGAAAGTCGCATTTCTTCTTCGTCTTTGTTTTCAAAATTCACGTCAATGTTATATTCAAAATAGTAACTCATCCAACAATTGTGAAATTAAGGGATTAATAATCGAGCTGGAATACTCCATCCCAAATGTGGCGCAAAATTCTATCCAGCAGATGCTCAAACTACTATGAAACACTACCATTGTTGTATTTTTTTTTTTTTTTTTCTTATCTAGGACTCTAAAGTACCCATTATGATCCTTGGACAAAGGGGGAAAAGTTGTAATAATGGAAGGAATCATTAGATAGCTTGAGATATGATTAAGCATCACAATCAAAGAGATAACAACGGTAATAATACTCACTCAAAGACAATAGAAGCATAATTGACTTGCCAGTTTGTCAATGGAGATTATATGTACTTTCTAACTCCTTCTAATTCATATCGCGTATTAAAGAAAAGAAACCTCCCCCACTTCTTTTATGGGTTGCGGACTTGCGGGGCTAGGGGAAGAACTCCGAAGAAGGGGCGAAGGGGTTAGTTCGGGATTGGCAGGACGCGCTACGGATCATAATAGCTGTGCCCACCAACTCACCAAAGAAGCAGTGCAGTAGCCCTTTCCGTCGAACGGGAAGAAATGATCAAACTGTTGTCTGTGATATCCCCACTAATAATAAGCCTGCTTTTGTTTGATTCCACCTATTATTTTTCTCCTTTTTGCCTTACCAAATTGCTTGGTTCATAGCTGGAGAGGGCCGCCCATTATTAGTTGTTAGTAATTGGAACTTGCAACTTGTGAGTTTCAGCAGAGGAAGGTAGGGGTGAAATGCCAACTTGGAACTCATGAGTGCAAGATGGCCTCACCCTGCCCTTATTTCATTATTTTACTCTGGTTTCGGACTACCGAACTGCATGACATGTTGATGTAAGGACGATTAGCATATGCTGACGCTAATTGAATCAACACGAATGTTAAACGCAATGAGTAAAAATATATAAGAAGAATTTTCAACACGATTTCTTTCCATTCTATACTAGTGGATATGCTAAGAGAGTGTAGCGATTTTCCCCAAAAAGAAAGACCTACATGAAATTAAAAACTCTTCAGCGGCAAAGCAAAATCCGATTTGGTTTTGGCTTCGGCTAATCGGCTTCTCCCTTAGCAAGAATTTTGGATAAGGACGAGGTGATAAATTGCTAATTGGCATTCTTCTTCCGCTAACTGATTACACTATTCCACAAAAAGTAACCCATTTTTCCCCACTTCTCTCGCGGAGTTTGTTGAAAAAGCACTGTTTCTCACTTATCAGGATTCTCAAGCACACTATTCAATGTCATGGACACATACGCTGCTTGAATGGCTTCAGCCCCCACAAGTCCATAATGACAGCCAAGCAAATCCATCACAAATACCTAATTGGCAATCAACAAAAGCGGCATTATTAAGTTAAAAAGAGAATAATAATAATTATTAAAACGGCTTTGCAAAAGGAAAAAAATACCAAATATCAATTTTCCATTTCAACTGTGTCACATTCTGTATGTGAAATCCTCCTTTTGCCCCTCTTCTCTTTACAAAAGTGGGTAGAAAAAGGAAAGTGAGTCTCTCCAAGGATTTGAGTGTCTTTCCCCAGACTTCATCCTTGGAAGCATTACACTCCTAGTAATAACTAAGTACTATTAGTAATAGACTTAAGTACCCCCTCTGCCTCTCTCTCCCAGTGTGTGTATGTTTTTACTATTTACAGTGATTGTGAAAACACAAATTGGGTGGGGCCATCAAGAGGAGGAGATTATTGCCACCAAAAATCCCCCCCTCTTTTTCACTACAGCCCCCAACTTTAAATTTACTTTTTCTTTTAACCTTTTTACTGGTACAAAATTCCACACCCACACACAATGACACACCCACCCCCTTCACACAGCCACATACTTTTACATTTTGGAAAATAGTAATTTACGAAAAAAACAAACAAACAAGTCCGCGCCGGCCAAAGCGAATTCCGCCTTCTCAGTTGCCAGCTGCGACGGGATTTTGATCTCCTACAGTTGGCGCCGGAGAAGAACCGAGGAGATCCGGCTTCAACTTGTTGAGCCACGTCTCCTTGTAGCTCCCGGCGTCGCCGGCTACTCTCCTCCCCTCCACAACAGACAATTCGTCGGTTAAACGGTAGATTTCGACCTCGAATTTCACACCACCGTTGCGCCCTTCCAGCTCCACCCCGTACAGCTTCTTCCTCTTCAGTCTCAGCCGTTCCGACCTGGCGAATTCCAGAACCTTCTCCAACAACCTCTCCGGGGACTGCGCGGTCACGAATCGGTCGCCGTCCTCCATCGAATTGTAGGTGTTGTCGAACAGGCCGGTCAGGTTCAAGCCGGATGAGAACGAGATCAGATCGAACGCGTTCAAGCTGCTGCTGCTGCTGCTGCTTGTGCTGGCCTCCGACGCGCTCTCCTTGTAATCAGAATTGAACTTGTCGGCGGTCGTGAACTCCTCGTCGTGGAACCTGATCGGCTTCTTGTGGCCCTTGGTGAACCACGGATCCGTGAGGATCTCGTCGACGGTGATCCTCGCGGCGGGATTCGTGTCGAGGAGCCGCGACAGAAACCGTTTCAGATCTGCGGACATCCATTTGGGGCAGCGGTACTCGCCTTTGTAAATCTTCTTGTACATTCCCATCAGATTAGGATCGCTGAAGGGTAAATACCCTGCCGTCAGGACGAAAAGGATCACGCCGCACGACCACACGTCGACCTTCGCCCCGTCGTACCCCTTCTTCCCGAGGATCTCCGGCGCCACGTAGGCAGGGGTGCCGCAGAGCGTGTGCAGCATCCCGTCGGCGCGGATCTGGTTCGCGACGGCGCTGAGGCCGAAATCGGAGACCTTCAAGTTGCCGCTCTCGTCGAGGAGGAGATTCTCCGGCTTCAGATCGCGGTGGAACACGCCACGGGAGTGGCAGTACCCGACGGCGGAGATCAGCTGGCGGAAGTACTTCCTCGCCAGGTCCTCGCTGAACCGGCCCTTGGAGATCTTGGCGAATAGCTCGCCACCCTTGACGAACTCCATGACGAAGTAGATCTTGGTCCTGGTGGCGAGGACCTCGTGGAGGCGGACGATGTGCGGGTGGCCGAGGCGGCGCATGATGGAGATCTCGCGCTTGATGTTGTTCATCATGGAGGGGGTTGTGATCTTCTTCTTGTTGATGACCTTGACGGCGACGCTCTGGCCGGTGGCGATGTTGCGGGCGTGGTAGACCTTGGCGAAGGCGCCGCAGCCGAGGAGCCTGCCGAGCTCATACTTGCCAAACAGGGCGTGATCGGCGACGCGCTCGATGTCCTGCATCGGTGGCGGCGGAGCTGGAATTGGATTGTGCGCGCCAGGGATCGAACCACACTGCGGCTGTGTGGCTCGATCAGGGGGGGAAGCCGCGGCAGAGGGGAAGAGAGCGGAGAAACGGTAAAAGGAGAATGGAGAAGAGAGGGGAAACTGAGAAACCGAGGAAGCAATTGAATGAAGAAGGTGATTAATAGTGTGCAGAGCGGAATTGGGGTTGCCGGAGGAACAGGAGATTTGGAAGAAAAGGAAAGGACGATCGGGAGAAAATATCGCAGGCGAGAAAATAAATATGTGGTGAAGAGTGGAGACGGGGTTTTATCAGGAAGAAAGAGGTAAAAAAAATCTAGTCAATAATATATATTTAATAATTGTTTTTAAATGTTAGTGAAGCTAAGCTACCTTTTTTGGCAGATGGGGGCTCTCTTCTCTTTCCTTTTACGCGGTTCTCCGAATATGCTGAAATTCAACCCTTTTCCGTTCTCTGTCGGGCTGTCACTTCCATTTTATTTGCCCGTTCATTTACAGCGTGTTGTGCATGTTCTTCATTTAGGTCCGTATTAGATGATTATCCAAAGTGTTGGCGTAGCTTTCACCTTTAATACGAAATGATCACTTGATTTCTATTGTAATCAGAATGATGGCTTGACTTTGAAATTTGTAACGAAATCATCCCTAGTTATGTCCATTTTCATTTCAAATTTTGTTCAATGTGACTCGTCGAATTAACAGGAAATATTTTTTCAGATAAAAAAACTAATGAAAATGCATCAAAGCACACCTAAACTCCGAACCACTACATCGCGTCCATGGACAACTCGTACTCGACCTGGAAAGGAAACTCACATCCAATAAGTGAATGAACACAAACCCGATTACATTCCTCGGGTGTGTGTTGTCTGTGGCTCGAATGGGTTGGTACGAATGCTTGATTAGTGTTAGGTTATTTTCAAATTAAATCCTTTAGATGGTCTGAAAGACTGATATTACAAAGTCAATGAAATTTTTTTGGGTACAATTAACAGAGGTACAACTCCATTTTGGAAAGGAAAAGAATTGTGACCATTATGTTCAAATGGTTTAAGTTAGCAAATCATTTTGTATAAGTGACCTTTTATTGTGAGTCTGGATGAATTATTTAGTTCCCATTCTCTCTTTATTGACTTGCCATTTCGTTTTCTTTCTTTATAAAGAAGGACCGTTGGTGAAGGTTAAACCAACCAATTGGGTGGTGAAGGTTAAACCGGCCAAAGGAGGGAATTTCTTTTCTTCTAGCTGTTCTCATTTTTTGTCACAAGGGGAGGACAGGTGTATTGTCGAGTTGGGTAGGGTGTAGGTTAGGGGATTTTGTTTCCTCTGATTTTAAGCAAGTTGGGATGGAGATGAAAATACGTTATTTTATTTGACTGTGGAAAATTTATGAAATGAATAAATAAAACAAGGGGAAAAGAAGTCGGCACAAATTTGAAATACAAGGGGGGGACTGAGGGACCCTTAGAGCTAGCTAATCGTTCGTATGGTTGTTTTTAGTGAGAATGTGATCACTGGCTTAAGTCATTATATTTGTCCCTAGCAGGTAGCAAGTAAAGAAGTATTAAACTAGTTGACGTGTTGATCCATAAGTTGTACTCATTTTGACACATATTAGGTTATGTTTTAAAGGAAATTGGGAGGAGACCGTGTCTGATTCGACCTACTGTCGATTTTTCTTATTAGTAAGCTATTAGTAGAATGTAACAGTAATTTACATGAATAAATAAAGCAAACATGTGCATTTATGCCATACAACATGGAGAATAGTCTACCATGATACATTGATATGATAAGGTCGCCACGACATAATTGAGATTATCAATTGCCTTGCCTTTGTTACTATAGTTATGATACCAAAATTATGATTCGAACACAATTGATCGAACATGACTGGATGCTCGCTAATCGTGACAATGTTGCTAAAACCACAAGTCATATACAATAACAAAGATACTCGCCAATCGTGAGAGTGTTGCCAAAACCAATCGTGTCAATCCCACCACCCACATTCAGGGGCGTAGCCAGGATTTTGTCAAGGGTGGGTCCATTTATAAAAAAAATACATAGATAAAATAGTTTTGTTAGTTTTTTAAATCATTTTTTTATAAATACAAAAACTTGGTAAATTAAATATATGTCAAAGTTATCGAGAATATCACTCTATAGGTATCAAACAATTATTCATGATTTAGTTAGACATTAGCTTTTGAATGGTATCTTTTGTCAAGACCGCTTAGTATCAGTAATTCAAGTTGTTGAGAAAGATTTAATAATGTATCTTATACTGTTTAGTATTTACTAACACTTTCTCACTAATGAAAATCAACTTATATGTGCTTAAAGTTTTCGCAAATTCGAATATCATGTGCTTAACAAATGAGGTTGCCAAGATTCGAACACATGATCTCTCGGTCAATCATTCTCAATTAGAAGTGCTATAAATTTCATTCGCAATTAACTATTATACTAATTTTCTTCATTTGAAGCCACCCATTGCACTCTCCCTACCCCTGAATGAAATAAAATTATTTTTACAAATTAGCTAGGATTTGGTGAAATTTTGTTTTAGATATTGAATTACATCTTTAATTTTGGGCGTATCATATGCACCATTATTATTCCATTATTTGTACACAACTCGTTATAAAAATATTGAATATTTTTCATACTCGATTAACTATTATACTTAACTAGCACCGGGCCCGGCCCGTTGGCCGGAAGAATTTGGTTGAGGAATATGGTATATAATAATGGATATAATAGATGATTTGAAATGCATGAAATAATTGTTTTCTACATTAGTTATGCACATAACATTTTTGAAAGAGATCCAACTATGCATAATGTGTTTAAATCTCCATGAAAAGAGAAAAAAAATAATATAAGCATTACATATAAGTATTGAATGAAAAAAGAAATAAATATAACCAATTATCATTCATTACTAAATTAAACTATATAGTTGTATATTAGAGTTGCTACTCATAATACATACATAATCAATTTTTACGATAATTCAAGTTTAGGACCCTATACTCTCAACAATATTAGCTCACCAAGGACCTCGGTTAACTCAAAATTCATTAGGTACACAAGCATTTATGTTAGTAAAATTTTAAGGACCCCAGTGGACTCGATGTCTGGCTACGCTACTGGGTTGGGCTATTAAGGCTTCCCAGTTTCCATAATCACCCAAATTATGAAAGGCATAAATTATTTTCTTAACCTAATTACATAAACTACGTAACTTCGTAAGTTCATCTTGGTAGCTTGAGTGGAGTGACATGATTCTCAGGTTACTGGTATTTGTCATTTCGTATTAATTTAATTTTTTGGGCGTGATAATCTTAGAAAATTCGAGACTTCCCGATTGACAGCACAGAATGAGGTTTAGGCATTCATTCATAGATTTATTTTTGGAGCGTGCAAGTGGGCAGTGGTAGATGCAGGAGGACAGTGACATCTCGACACCTGTCCTCCTTCTAATTAGGACGACAGCAATTAATAAAAGAATTAAATATTGTACCCGCAAAATGGAAATGTAGTTGATACCGGATTTCCCCTTTTAATATTATATATATGGACGGCCAATGGGATGGGAAGGTCGGCGCCTGATAATTGACCTAACGGGACACCGCGGCTGCCGGTTTAACGGAAATTTGTTAGGCAAGCATATGCGACGCCACGGCGGACGTCATATTATATACGTTTATGAATAAATTGGAAAAAAAAAAAAATTTATTGTATATCATCAGAGTTGGAACATGCAATGGAAACCCCACGAAGAAAAAAGATGAAGAGCTTTTTGGCTTTTGATGGATAGTGCATGACGAAATGAGGGCACATTGAAACCATTTATGATAGGAAAACGTATCGTTGTAACCGTCAAACCCCAATAATTCGAGTTGTTAGGAGATGTTCAATCGTGGATCATATACCACAACACTAACACGCCCCCTCACTGGCGGATCCAGGGGGTGGCCACCCCAGGCCCCCGGCCCAGCCCTCCTCGGGATCCGTAGTTACTATAGTCCTTATGAAATTTTTGATTTTAGACATTCAATTCAGTGTTATTCTATGATAAAATTGGATTTAACTAGAAAAATTATCAAGTTGAACATATTCAAATCACTATTCTAAATTTAGCCTAGAAATTTTAGCCCCAAAGATTATGCGTCTTAAAAAACAAGGAAACCTAAAATTCTAAAAAGTTAAAAACATAAAAGACTAAAAGAAATATGAGGTTCCCTTACAAATTTACTATAGCAGCTGGTGTGCAGGGATGGACACACAATGTAAATTGATTAGTCGATTGATTTATCTAGTGTTGATGCTGCTCGTTTCAACAGCTACTACGAAGAGAACCTTTTTAACAATGAAACATGTGAGAACTGATTTGCTCAACAAAATGAGCGATGAATTTCTCGCCGATTGCTCAAGTATTTTATTTGAAATAGTGTATACTATTCGTATGGATGTAGACTTCATTATTGATGCATTCCCTAAATTAAAATACAGTTGTGTACAATTTACATTGCAAAAAACAATAATCATTAGATTTTTTTACGGTTCTAATTTTCCAATAAAATGCGGCCCAGTGCCCTTCTGTGTTCTGGATCCGCCGCTGCGCCCCCTCAAACGAAAGCCACTCACAAGGGCTTGAAGTTTGCACAGGTCTGAAGACAAGAATACCATGTGCTAAACAAATGGGATCACCGGGAATCGAACACAAGACCTCTCGGTCACATAAGGCTCTGATACCATGTCAAGAACTAGTTGACCCCAATAACTCGAGTTGTTGGGAGAAGTTCAATCGTGGATCATATACCACCACACTAACAGTAACTGCTAAGAATTTATGAATAGAGTCAATGGCAAACGTATTCCTAGGTTGATGAAGCGCTCCATCTTGCTGTCAAGAGGAAAAACAAGAAAATCACGGGACGCACCCCGAATTTGAACCTCAGACTTGGGAAATCAAGGGGATATTGTTAGATGTTGAATGTAGTAATAGATAAGAGTTGTGTTAATTGCGAGTGATCGATGGATTGTGAATTATGAGGTGACAACATGCATGTGTGGAGTGGAGTGGTAAACTTGGACTTTTCTAGTTATCTTCGACTTGTTGTTGTGTCGTATCAATCTACAATAGGAAGTTGGAATTACTTACGTGGTTAGTTACTTAGCTAATATATTGTCACCGTCAGTCAAATATGACAGGCTGGGCAGAATACATGCAGCAATTAGGCATTTCCATCAAAGAACCCAATTTCTACCTCATGAAATCAGCACACTTTTAATTTGTTTTCTGAATCATAGACAAATTACTGATCAGAGGGCGGCCTGGACCAATCAATTAACCGGGCCTAATTATTCCTGGTAGCTACAAATTAGACAAATAGATGTATATAATTAATATACAAATTGTGATTTCTCCTGGTTCTGGTTCTGGACATTTGTTGAGGTCCAGCTCATGCTATTGGATTTTAGCTGGTTTATAAGTTGCAATGCAAGTGGGTAGATTTGGTTGGAGTTTGCCATTTGGTTTGGAGCTATCGGGTATAATCTTCTCTTCTTTGCTTGATATCTTTTTCCAATCTGGGCCTAGTTGTTGTCTTTCGCTTTTCTCCTATTTTTTGGGGGAAGCTGATGATAAATTTTGGTGACTTTATCATCGTGATTTACTGATTTGTATTAATGAAAAAATAGATCGCTTATATGTTGCGGTCGACCTAATCATGAAAAGATTTATACTTAGAAATAAATTGACCAGTCGTACTATAGAGAGAGGTCAACAGGTTAGGTAAATATATTTTTGTAATTTTTACCAGCGTTGTGGAGAGTGCTCTCTAAAGACAGTGAATCCCGTGATTTCAATTGAAAGGTAAACTGGACTTTCGGCGTGGTCGGCCTGTTGATCTACACGTGTTGCACCAACAACTACATTTGATGTTCACGAGTCTTTTCTTCTTAACCGTGTCGAATATCCACAATATTTTATTTACGAAGTTGTTAGATTGATAAACTAATAACATGGATTGTTATGTATAGAGGTTAATGCTGCTATTAACTAGGGTTAAGTGGTTTCAAAGTCGTTGTTTAGTACTGAAACAATTCTGGTGGTGGACTCTTGTTGCAATACTAATGAGGTAATGGTCAATAGGCCGACAATTTCGTTATCCTGGTCAATCATTGTTTTCTTTGTAATAGTACAGTTGTATCATCCAATCGAATTTTCCCAAATCTATGACCACTTTTTCTTTGTAATGGTTCAACTGTGTCATCTAGTCGACCATTTTGTCCAGATTACAAGGCATTGTAGCAAAGTCTTGAATTGGTGTTCCCACATGAGTTAAATTTATTATTAGGATAAAAAGTGATTTTACATTTTACAAGTCTAACAATGGGAGGGATGCATGGAGATGGAGAAACTCCAGTATCAGTTAGCTTTCTAATTACAAGAATACAAGAGTAGCAACACCATGTTAATCATGAGTTATGTTTAGTACTATAATTATAGTTGTAGTTATTGTTTTTTTAGTTGCGAGACTAGAACTCATGGTTACTATGTTAGCACAATATTTGGTCATGCGAACTCCGAGCGATCTTATATGTTCTAGAAAATCTTAAGATCAACAACGTGAAATTAGAATAATCGCATCGGTTAAAGGGAGAGAGAGACACGAATTAATATGAACTCGAATAACCAAGTTACAAGTGTCTCTTTATCACTTGTACTAAATGCTTGGTGTCTTTGTCTATTGGATATAATATCATGATCGAGAATTACTTTCCATAAAAAATTACATTTTCGGGTTTAAAGTTTAAACATGAGATCATTAAGCCAGCCTAGCTTCCTCATCAGTTCGGTTCTTCAACAAAAATTGTTGAGAAACTTGAGATCCACATTTTGAGACCACTTTGCATTGGTTAGACGATACCAAAATTCCAGTTGACTGAAAAGGGGAACAAATTCGCCCGAAATGGAAGTCAATTCAAACACAATTTACTTGTGATCAACACCATTAGGCATTAAGATACTGGGTTTGATTCTGGTTAACCCAAACCTGAGTCGAACCTAGTTGGTTGGACCAGCAAACGAAAGAGTGAAGAAGAGAAGATTTGATGATTTGAATTAAGAGTGTTATGGACTGAAGGGACCAAAGCCCAAAATAACAAGTGTATGGGCCGAGGGTTTCACAAGGCTTTTACAGCCCACATCCACAAGATCATGATAACTTAGCCTACCTTTTAAGAGGCGAGGCCCACGTAGATCATAGCTTTGAATTTGGTCAATATACGATTTGAACAGTGAGTGGACAACTTGATGAATAATTTTTCAACGAGGATTGAACAAAACTTAGCCCCCGTTTCTCATGCCCGAACTTATCAATTAAGGTGGTTGATTCAACTCAATATAAACCAAGAATTCCACCACATCAAGAGGATCTTATAATTTCCACCACAGAAGAAAAGAAAAGAAAAGAAAAGAAAAATGAAGAATAAGGATCTTAAAGGTAAAAATAGCAACCTGACTTTTCTATATAACTTTGCCACTCTTCTTAGATTGAAATATCATTTTCTAAGTGAATGTTTAGCAACTATAACTCACAACAATCACAATTTCCTGAGCAATGGAGACGAGTTTACTAGTCACGGCGGTTTGTTTGTGTGCATTATTGATCGCTACAAAAGTTGAAGCTGCATCTGGTCAGAAAGCCCATTTTGCATGGCTAAGTAACGTCAAGATTAGATACTCGGGCCCGGTGATCGAGTACGGCGCTATAGAGAAGGGTGCAGTCCCTTGTGGTGGAGAAAAACCTTGCCCCAAGATACCGGCGAACCCATACGAGAGAGGATGCTTGAGAATTCTTCGTTGTCGTACTGAACACAATCCGACCAAAGCATCATCTGTCAACGAGAATACTGACGAGGATGTTGAAATGAAAGGTGACGACGTCGTCAGAAAATACGACGACGACGACAAGCATGTTAACGAATGGGGGAACTACGGTGACCAACAACATGTAATTGAGAGGACCAATAGCGACGAAAGGGTGTACATGTACTTGAAGAAAGACACACGTAAACATGACAACAAAATGGGTAGAAAGCTTATGGGGAAGATGATGATGATGATGCGAGAAGATCATTAATCACAAATTCATATAGAGCTTAAGAAATAATAGGGCTAGGAGTGGTTTTTTATTTTTTATTTTAGATACTTAGAGTAAAATAAATATTTCATGTTTTTTTTTATTTGATTAATTTAGATAATAATGCGCTTTTTTCCCCTGTACTTTTTTAGTTCTTGATAGTTTCTTTATGCTAGTCCAGACATTTGGTAGAAATTCTTTCTTCCTCAAAAGAAAAGTAAGAAGTCAATGTCTTTTATTCGTCTATTGGCAGCATCAAAACAGGACCAAGAGAAAAGCGAAATGAACACTTACGTACTCAAACCTAGTCATTTCATCCAAAAAGGAAAGAGATCCGAGATTCACTATGATTGAATGAGAAAAAAAGAAGAGGGTAAGTTGAAACCCCTAATATCACAACCACTTAGTCACTATATGAGAAGAGCTACAGAACTATCAAGATATTCTACAATTCTCTTACACTGCCAAGCTATTTACACAGTCAAAGCAAAGCTCACCAAATTAAAAGACTAACATGATTTTTCACCGGAAAAAAAAAAAAAAGACTAACATGATTGTCCATTTTCTTAGAGAAATGAATGAAAACTATGCTATACCTAGGCCACACATGTTGACTAGCGATCCATTACCATTTACCAAACATTTATCGAGTTTTTTTATAGAATAACCCAATAACATGCGAGGTAAAATTCTAGAACCAACCAAGAGAAAGAAAAGATGATTGAATCTTTGGCCATAACTCTATAATACGCACTCTTTGAGATTTTAGGATTCTTATAAGTCAAAGAGCCTATAATTGGAACACCAATGTTCCATATTTGCCATCCAAAGACCTTCTTTCACATATTGCAAGATGCATGAGCATATGTGAAGACACATGCTATGATTATAAGCATGGCTGGCCACCACGTACGAATGACTAAAAGAGAGAGTCATTGTCAAACTTTAAACAAGTTAATGTAGTTACGTTGTTGCGTCACACATGGAAATGAAAGCATCACTTTGAACAAAGAAACTATGAAAGTTTATCAATCTTCTTAAGGATACAAGCAACAACACGGTGGAACTGGAACACACCATCTTTGTCCAAACACAAAGATATCCCCACCACCTCATAGACCGAAGGGGCCCAAAGAACAAAACAACGTGTGTAGTGTATGGCACATTGATCATAGCTTTGAATTTGGTCAATATGGGATTTGAATAGTGGACAACTTGATGAATAATGTTTCAATGAGTATTGAACAAAATTAAGCCCCCGTTTCTCATGGCTGAACTTACAATTAAGGTGATTGATTCAACTCAATTTAAACCAAGAATTCCACCACATCAAGAGGATCTTTAAATTTCCACAAGAGAAGAAAAGAGACAAAATGAAGAATCAGGATCTTAAAGGTAAAAATAGCAACACGATTTCTCTTTATAATAATTTCCCACTCTTTTCTACTGATCGATCCGAAACCAGTAACAAAAATCATTGTTTCATTACCACCAAATTGAAATAACATTTTCTTAGTTGAATACTAGAAAGTAACCTCACATCAATCCATCTGTCGAGCAACGGAGACATAAAAAATGACGATGAACTTACTAGTCGTGGCGGTTTGCCTGTGTGAAGTGTGAACTGATTGCTACGGAAGTTGAAGCATCACCCAACAACCCGATAGTCCATTTTACATGGCTACGTAACGTCGGGATTAGATACTCGCGCCCCGTGATCAACTACGACGTTTTAGAAAAGGGTACAGTCCCTTGCAGTGGAGAAAAACCTTGCCCCAAGATACCGGCGAACCCATACGACAGAGGCTGCTCGAGAATTCTTCATTGTCGTACTGGACACAATAATCCGGCGAAATCATCTGTCAACGAGAATATTAGTCGGAGAAATGGAGGTCTAACTGTGCAGATACTAGATGGTAACCATCACGATAGGATTGTGGACGAGGAAGTTGAAATGAAAGGCGACGACGCCAAACATGTTAAAAGCGCTGACCAACATGTCAATGGGAAGATGACAGGCACCAATAGCGACGAAAGGGTTTACATGTACGTGAAGGAAGTCACGCGTAAACATGACAACAAAATAGGTAGAAAGCTTATGGGGAACATGATGATGCGAGAAGATCATTAATAACCATTAATCCAAGTTTAAGAAATAATAGGCTAGCGAATGGTTGTTGATTTTAGACACTTAGTGTATAATAAACATTTCATGATTTTTAATTAATTTTAGAAAATCATGCACTTTTCTTTGTTTTTTTTGTTCTTGCTATTTTCTCCATGCTAGTTCAGAACTTCATACATTTGGTAGTAATTCTTTCTTCCTAACAGAAGAAAAATAAGAAGTCTATGTCTTTTTTATCCTCTTTTTTCTTCTATTGGCAACATCAACACATTACCAAAAGAAAAGTGAAATGAACACTTAGACTAACTCCAACCCAAAAGGTTATATTTAGCCTCTCAAACTCTCAGATGTGCATTTTTACCTTCCAAAAACACTTTTTTGCTCCAACTCTAAACCTTCTAAATTTGCCTTCCCAACTCATAACCAACCAATCAAAAATTAATAAAGTTAAAAAAAAAAGATGTTGGAAATTGGAGGGCCCCAGCGTGTGGGCTTGGGTTCCATGGTTGGTCCCCCACCTTCTCCTTGCATTTTTCCATATGAGCTTCTATCTATCCACCCCCAAGCCTGTAGAAAGATTTGGGAAATCAGAGACAGTCGACAAAATAGCTCGTTGGGAGTAAATCAACATCACTAGAAGCTTGGAAATCAAGTCAAAATCAATCAACTGATTGATTACATAATCAGCTCAAGAATCACTCCATAAATCAAGCGTTGCAAATAAGGAAAGACGAGGTGTTTCCAACTCACACAAATCTTCACCTCCTCATCTATAAAAGGGACTGAATCGCATTACCTCAAGCACTTTTGTGAGACAACGGAAAAGGGTTTCGAAACAAAAGGGTTTAGCAAAGGGGAAGAGGTTCTTTGCTAGTGGCTGATACAAATTCCGGAGTTTGGAATTTTTGGGTTGCTTATTCGTCATTCTACTTTATTTCTAGTATTTCTTTCTTTGAGTCTTTGTTTCAATTTGCTTCTTTTGTATGTGTAAGTTAGATCGTAAAGAAAATAAAAATAGAGTCGTAGGTGTGGACGTAGCCCATTGCACCAGGGTGAACCACGTTAAAAATATCGTGTGTTCTTTAGATTTCTGCACTTTTCTTTTCGTACTTCATCTTCCATATCAATTCTCTGTTTTCCAAGGATTTTGATCCAAGGAAGAAAACAGACCTAAGTGTTCTCTATAGGTCTGCTCGGCTGGGCTCACCAATTCTCAAGCCTATCTCAACGTTGGCTTTCTGCTCATAGATTTCGAGTGGGCTTGAGAAGATCAGGCCCAAACTGAAGGGGAGAATCAGAACGAAAACACTGAAGAACTTCTCCTTCATTTTCGATCTTCTTCCCTCTTCTTCTTCTGCTTTACTTTCCCAAACGTACAATCCCTAAAATCGGACCCTTTGATTACAATTGGTATCAGAGCCAATCCCTTGATTGAGCTACATACTTCCAAGGGAATCGATCATGGGCTCTTCTGTCTTTGGTCATGCATCATACAATCATCCGCCTTTATTCACAGGAACGAATTACACCTCTTGGAAACGCCGAATGGAAACTTTCCTTTAGGGAGTCGATGAAGCTCTCTGGTCGGTGGTAAGCGATGGTCCTCTTGCCATGGATCTTGCCCAGCGATCCACCTGGAATGATGCTCAGTAGAAAAGCGCCCAGCTCAACAAAAGGGCGATGCACATTCTTCATTCGGCCATGGCAGCGACTGAGGCGGATAAGATCGAGCACTGGGACACGGCTCAGGAGATCTGGATTTCCCTTGAGAAGACATACGAAGGAACCTCGAACATCAAGGAGACACGCATAGATCTCCTAATGCACGAGTACGAGACATTCGCCATGAACCCAGGTGAGGATATTCAATCCATGTATTCTCGCTTTACTATCATTCTAAACAAATTAAAGGGTTTAGGAAAATATTTCATAAGTAAGGATATAAATCAAAAGATTCTTCGTTCATTACCTAAGGGATGGTTACCTAAAAGAACTGCAGTCGAGGAGGCGCAAAATCTAAATACTTTACCAGTTGATGAATTGATTGGTTCATTATTGAGCCATGAGCATGTTGTTAGGCAAGTTCATGGTGAAGATAAGAGGCAGAAAAGTCTCGCTTTTCGAACTAGAGTCTATCAGGATGACTCTGAAGATGATTCGTTTCTTGATATTGATAGGGAAATAGCCTTTCTTAGTAAGCGCCTTCAACGAATAATTAAACATAAGAATGAGCAAAAACGGTTCAATACCACCTCCGGAAAATTCACTAGTCAGGATAGAACTCACCCTGGTTTCAAGGATAGGCTGCCTTCTAGGAAGACCAGAGATGTGGATGCAGGTACTTCGGCTAAGGAACCACAAGGCTGCTACAAGTGTGGCCAACCAGGCCATATCCGTGCACATTGTCCTCTCACACTCAAAGCCAAAGAAAAAGCCATGATGGCCTCTTGGAGTGACTACGACTCTGAGTCAGATAATGATCAGGTAGACGAGGAAGCATTTATGGCCTTTGCCATGAATGTAGAAGGTAACTCTGCTCACTCTTCTGCTGAACTTGCCTTCAAAATAGCAACATTTAACTCAGACATGAATGATGAGCCCCACTGGTATATGGATAGTGGGTGCTCCCATCACATGACTGGCACAAAACAGTTGTTCTCTTCTCTATCCCCTAGAAACGATGGTAAGGTTATCTTTGGTGATGATAGTTCTGGAAATGTCATTGGTCATGGTACTATTGGCCGAGAACCCTTTCCTGTCATTCATAACGTTTTGCTGGTCGAGGGTCTAAAATATAACTTACTCTCAATAAGTCAGTTATGTAGTAGTGGATATAAAGTGATTTTTGAAGCATCTCATTGTGTCGTTGAAAACTCACAAGATCACAAAACTTTGTTTGTTGGAAAACGTCAGAATAACATGTATGTTATTAATTTCCAGAAATTAGGATCATCCGGTGAAATATGTT